CTTTACTCAAGTAGAAGTACTCATCCTTTACTCAAGTAGAAGTACTCACATCCTTTACTCAAGTAGAAGTACACACATCCTTTACTCAAGTAGAAGTACAACACTTCCTTTCTCAAGTAGAAGTACTCTCATCCTTTACTCAGGTAGAAGTACTCATCCTTTACTCAAGTAGAAGTACTCACTTCCTTTACTCAAGTAGAAGTACTCACATCCTTTACTCAAGTAGCAACACTCTCATCCTTTACTCAAGTAGAAGTACTCTCATCCTTTACTCAAGTAGAAGTACTCACATCCTTTACTCAAGTAGAAGTACTCACATCCTTTACTCAAGTAGAAGTACTCTCACATCCTTTACTCAAGTAGAAGTACTCCATCCTTTACTCAAGTAGAAGTACTCACATCCTTTACTCAAGTAGAAGTACTCTCATCCTTTACTCAAGTATAGAAGTACACTCATCCTTTACTCAAGTATAAGTACTCTCATCCTTTACTCAAATAGAAGTACTCATCATCCTTTACTCAAGTAGAAGTACTCACATCCTTTACTCAAGTAGAAGTACTCACATCCCTTTACTCAAGTAGAAGTACACTCATCCTTTACTCAAGTAGAAGTACTCACACCCTTTACTCAAGTAGAAGTACTCACATCCTTTACTCAAGTAGAAGTACACACATCCTTTACTCAAGTAGAAGTACACATCCTTTACTCAAGTAGAAGTACAGACATCCTTTACTCAAGTAGAAGTACACATCCTTTACTCAAGTAGAAGTACAGATATCCTTTACTCAAGTAGAAGTACACACATCCTTTACTCAAGTAGAAGTACACACATCCTTTACTCAAGTAGAAGTACACACATCCGTTACTCAAGTAGAAGTACACTCATCCTTTACTCAAGTAGAAGTACACACATCCTTTACTCAAGTAGAAGTACACACATCCTTTACTCAAGTAGAAGTACACTCATCCTTTACTCAAGTAGAAGTACACTCATCCTTTACTCAAGTAGAAGTACACTCATCCTTTACTCAAGTAGAAGTACACACATCCTTTACTCAAGTAGAAGTACACACCTCCTTTACTCAAGTAGAAGTACACTCATCCGTTACTCAAGTAGAAGTACTCTCATCCTTTACTCAAATAGAAGTACTCTCATCCTTTACTCAAGTAGAAGTACTCACATCCTTTACTCAAGTAGAAGTACTCACATCCTTTACTCAAGTAGAAGTACACTCATCCTTTACTCAAGTATAAGTACTCTCATCCTTTACTCAAATAGAAGTACACTCATCCTTTACTCAAGTAGAAGTACTCACTTCCTTTACTCAAGTAGAAGTACTCACATCCTTTACTCAAGTAGCAACACTCTCATCCTTTACTCAAGTAGAAGTACTCGCCCCCTTTACTCAAGTAGAAGTACTCACACCTTTACTCAAGTAGAAGTACACTCTCATCCTTTACTCAAATAGAAGTACTCTCATCCTTTACTCAAGTAGAAGTACTCACATCCTTTACTCAAGTAGAAGTACTCACATCCTTTACTCAAGTAGAAGTACACACATCCTTTACTCAAGTAGAAGTACACTCATCCTTTACTCAAGTAGAGTACTCTCATCCTTTCTCAAGTAGAAGTACTCACATCCTTTACTCAAGTAGAAGTACTCTCATCCTTTACTCAAGTAGAAGTACTCTCATCCTTTACTCAAGTAGAAGTACTCGCACCCTTTACTCAAGTAGAAGTACTCACACCCTTTACTCAAGTAGAAGTACTCACATCCTTTACTCAAGTAGAAGTACAGACATCCTTTACTCAAGTAGAAGTACTCACATCCTTTACTCAAGTAGAAGTACTCACATCCTTTACTCAAGTAGAAGTACACTCATCCTTTACTCAAGTAGAAGTACTCGCACCCTTTACTCAAAGTAGAAGTACTCACCTCACTCACACCCTTTACTCAAGTAGAAGTACTCACATCCTTTACTCAAGTAGAAGTACGATCCTTTACTCAAGTAGAAGTACACATCCTTTACTCAAGTAGAAGTACACATCCTTTACTCAAGTAGAAGTACACACATCCTTTACTCAAGTAGAAGTACACACATCCTTACTCAAGTAGAAGTACACACATCCTTTACTCAAGTAGAAGTACAGACATCCTTTACTCAAGTAGAAGTACACACATCCTTTACTCAGGTAAAAGTACAGACATCCTTTACTCAAGTAGAAGTACACACATCCTTTACTCAAGTAGAAGTACACATCCTTTACTCAAGTAGAAGTACACTCATCCTTTACTCAAGTAGAAGTAAACACTCATCCTTTACTCATAGAAGTACACACATCCTTTACTCAAGTAGAAGTACACACATCCTTTACTCAAGTAGAAGTACACTCATCCGTTACTCAAGTAGAAGTACACTCATCCTTTACTCAAGTAGAAGTACACACATCCTTTACTCAAGTAGAAGTACACTCATCCTTTACTCAAGTAGAAGTACACACCTCCTTTACTCAAGTAGAAGTACACTCATCCTTTACTCAAGTAGAAGTACTCTCATCCTTTACTCAAATAGAAGTACTCTCATCCTTTACTCAAGTAGAAGTACTCACATCCTTTACTCAAGTAGAAGTACTCACATCCTTTACTCAAGTAGAAGTACTCACATCCTTTACTCAAGTATAAGTACTCTCATCCTTTACTCAAGTAGAAGTACTCTCATCCTTTACTCAAGTAGAAGTACTCACATCCTTTACTCAAGTAGAAGTACTCACATCCTTTACTCAAGTAGAAGTACACTCATCCTTTACTCAAGTAGAAGTACTCGCACCCTTTACTCAAGTAGAAGTACTCACACCCTTTACTCAAGTAGAAGTACACACATCCGTTACTCAAGTAGAAGTACACTCATCCTTTACTCAAGTAGAAGTACACACATCCTTTACTCAAGTAGAAGTACACTCATCCTTTACTCAAGTAGAAGTACACACATCCTTCACTCAAGTAGAAGTACACACATCCTTTACTCAAGTAGAAGTACACTCATCCTTTACTCAAGTAGAAGTACACACATCCTTTACTCAAGTAGAAGTACTCTCATCCTTTACTCAAGTAGAAGTACACACATCCGTTACTCAAGTAGAAGTACACTCATCCTTTACTCAAGTAGAAGTACACACATCCTTTACTCAAGTAGAAGTACACACATCCTTTACTCAAGTAGAAGTACACTCATCCTTTACTCAAGTAGAAGTACACACATCCTTTACTCAAGTAGAAGTACACTCATCCTTTACTCAAGTAGAAGTAGACACATCCTTTACTCAAGTAGAAGTACTCTCATCCTTTACTCAAGTAGAAGTACACACATCCGTTACTCAAGTAGAAGTACACTCATCCTTTACTCAAGTAGAAGTACTCACATCCTTCACTCAAGTAGAAGTACACACATCCTTCACTCAAGTAGAAGTACTCACATCCTTTACTCAAGTAGAAGTACACACATCCTTTACTCAAGTAGAAGTACACACATCCTTTACTCAAGTAGAAGTACACTCATCCTTTACTCAAGTAGAAGTACACACATCCTTTACTCAAGTAGAAGTACACTCATCCTTACTCAAGTAGAAGTAGACCACCATCCTTTTACTCAAGTAGAAGTACTCTCATCCTTTACTCAAGTAGAAGTACACACATCCGTTACTCAAGTAGAAGTACACTCATCCTTTACTCAAGTAGAAGTACTCACATCCTTCACTCAAGTAGAAGTACTCACATCCTTCACTCCAAGTTAGAAGTACACACATCCTTTACTCAAGTAGAAGTACTCACATCCTTCATCTCAAGTAGAAGTACACACATCCTTCACTCAAGTAGAATACAGAAGTATGGCTTCAGATCCTTAATGTCATGATTTTCTTTCAGAATTCTGACTAAGCCAAAAATGTATTCAGAAATGTTACTTTTTTCTAAATTATTACTTCTTTTTTCTTCAGATTTCTGACTTTAGCTCAATTTCTTTTGAAAGATTTTCTGAGAGCTTCTGAATATCTTTCAAAACCCTTTTTGCCCCGACATGAAAGCAGAGGGGCAGAGTGAGAATATTTGGGCCCCCTCGTTAGTCCGGACTGTGTTGTTAGGAGAAGGTGAGTCTGAGTGCGACCCGTCTGTAACCCCCCGGCCAACAAAGACCTCCACCTCAGATCTCCCGTGTTTTGCTCGTGTGTAATCTTCCATCGTTGACCTTTGCTTCTTTCTAAAACAGCCCTTTCAGCCCCCGCACCACCTGCTACACTTACACTGTGGGAACGTTTCCTGCTCGCCTCACATCCTTTTCTTTGTGGGGTTTTGAACGTAGGCCAGACGCACCCGCTAGTGGACGCCTGAGGCTGGGAGAGTGAAGCTAACCGTGGCTAGCTGTGCTACAGCTCAGAAACTATTAACTATTTGATCTGTTGGAGGAGCCTGTGACCTCAGAAGTTCATTGACATATCTACACTGTAGCTTGAGTCCTTGAATCCTTGAAAGGATGCAGATATAGAAACCCAAATGTTCCTGTTCACACTCAGAAACATCTTCAGCAACTTGACAACACATGCAGCGTTTAGAGAAGATTCAGCAACTTGAGGAGACATGGCAGCATTTACTAAGAGCCACAGAAACCAAACTCTGAATAAGCTGGTTCCTCAAGTGACTGAATCAGGTTCCTCGTTGTGACGAGTCCACGTTGGAGTGGATGCAGAAGTTATCGGAGCCTAACGAACCCTCTCTGTCTCGAAGCCTTGAACAGATGGACTAAAAACCACGAGACCCAACCTGGGTAACATGGCCGGAAGTGATGATAAACGAATGTGTTCAGTGTGGCCTTCCATCAGGCTGAATACGTGTTGTGGCTCCTAAGTATCACTCAAAGCAATCCAGTACTAAGTATAGAAACTTCTGCAATCAGACGATAATATATAGTTCATATTTGTCAACTTAGGATGCGATTATCCACTCACCGGGTTTCCTGCATGCCCCCTCTCCCCCCTCTCGCACAGACAGGACTTCGGCTGAGGGCACTGAAATAAAGACACGAGAGATAATGAACATATAAAGAACTGAATCGACGATGTGCTTGAGATACACAGCAGAGAAAGGATAAGGCCTTCGTTGTGCGTGAACAAGTGACCACACCTCAAATAATAACACAGAATATGATCATGTGAGGATAGCTTGCACATCTTCCGGCGCAAACTGAAAACTCATCTCTTTCGACTCCACTTCGAGCGTTAGAACTATTAACGAAGCACTTTTATACTAATAAAGGACTGGCTTATCTAAAGCCAGTTGAGTAGCACTTGAAATGTTTGGCTCTATGAAACCTGATGTACTTATATGATTCTGTTTTCTTCAAGGTTGTGTCTTCCTGGTCGAATGCACTTATTGTAAGTCGCTTTGGATAAAAGCGTCAGCTAAATGCAATGTAATGTAATGTAATGAAATAATGATCATGGTACTCACCCCAGTTTTTACAATTGTGTTCTGGAAGAAAACAAAGACGGTTGGTCAGTTATTTAAAGTCCAAACCTGCAGGAATAGTTAACTCAAGACAAAACAAGACTCAACCTCGGACCAAGAGTTGCTGAAACGTGGCTTGTTTTCAGGTCTGTTTTACTTTTGTTGCTTTCATCGTTTAACTTCATCCCACCAGTTTCAATACTTGAACCCCACAGTGAGCCACTATGTGAAAGACTCAGCCTGTGGTAACTTGAATGCTGGAAGAAAACGCTCATGCCTCCACGGTGAACAAAGAATCCAACATTGAAGTCAATAGGGACAGCAAAAAACCTTCAGTCCTGTTTTTACTCCCCCCCCCCACACACTCACCAGTTCATTGAAGAGTTTGTCGTCCAGCTGTTTGTCCGTGAGACTCAGCAGGTGTTTCTGCGGCGGGGCGCTGGCGATGGACCTCAGTTTCTCGCTCATCTGTGCGTTCGTCGGTAGGTCCGAGAGCCGGAGGACGAACATCCGGATGTTTTGCTGCTTGGCTTCAGCGGCAGCAGCAACAGCACTGGGACTTCGAGGATGATCCGATCCGTCCGTCATTAGTAGCCCTACCCGGAGGCTGCTGGAGGAAGTCTCGCGCCCGAATAACTGCGTGGCGTTGGAGATACCGTACGCCGAAAAGGTGCCGTGTCCGATGAACGCCATGGAGGAAACGCGGCTCTGGAACACGTCCAGGTCCTGCCAGTCTCTGAAGTTGTGCTCCAGGGAGACGGAGCTGCTGTACTGCAGCGCGGCGAGACGGAGACGCAGACGCCAGCCGGTCGAATGCAGCTGCGTGAGTCTGGAGCTGAACCGAAGGATGAAGGCCTTCTGGCGCTCGAACAGAAGAGACTTGGCTCTCTCCGAACCATCCACGATGAACATGAGCTCCACCGGGCAGATCAGGGCTGGACCAGGAGCAGAGAGACAGAGGGTTTACAACCTGCAGTCAGACGGCTTCAAAGGAAGGTCTGTAGAAAGGATCTGGATAGAATAATGTATTTCATGGCTTTAAACACGTACTCTTGGCCTCATTGCGGAGGACCTGGTTGTCGTCTCTCTGCCCTTTCCTCTTCCTCTTCTGGCCTCTCGCTGGACTCCACAGAGCGAGAGCCAGGAAGGAAACCTTCAGGATCCACGCAAGAGTCATCCTTCAGTCTGGGAACATTACAGGAGAAACAGAGGTTCATTCAGCTTCTGTTTAGACATCAACCACCGGCTGGAATACTTCAAGTCTTCATTCAAAGCTCACCTGTTCTCCATGACCTTTGACCCCTAACCCATCACACTGCTATTTCACTTTTACTTTATTATTAGCCCTATTTGTTTGTTTGTTTGTTCACCATGTTCACCTTGGGTCTTGAAAGGCGCTTTACAAATCTATTATTATGATTATCGATAGTCCTGAATCCATCACACTCACACATGGTAACGGTGGCAGTGATGTTTCACAGAGACACAAGAGGGAGACATCGCAGGTACATTCCTTCAACATGTCAGGTGTACAGGTAACACACACACACACTCACTCACACACACTCACACACTCACACACACATACTCACACACACACACACTCTCACACACTCACTCACACACACTCACACACACATACTCACACACACACACACTCTCACACACTCACTCACTCACAGCAGCTGTTTGATCTGCTTTGACTGAACGATGTTTCTGCACTTATGAATATGTTCTGCTGGAGCGTGAGAGAGTGAGAGAGTGAGAGAGTGAGAGAGTGAGAGCGTGAGAGAGTGAGAGCGTGAGAGAGTGAGAGAGTGAGAGCGTGAGAGAGTGAGAGCGTGAGAGAGTGAGAGAGTGAGAGCGTGAGAGAGTGAGAGAGTGAGAGCGTGAGAGAGTGAGAGCGTGAGAGAGTGAGAGAGTGAGAGAGTGAGATAGTGAGAGAGTGAGAGAGTGAGAGAGTGAGAGAGTGAGATAGTGAGAGAGTGAGAGAGTGAGATAGTGAGAGAGTGAGAGAGTGAGAGAGTGAGATAGTGAGAGAGTGAGAGAGTGAGAGAGTGAGAGAGTGAGATAGTGAGAGAGTGAGATAGTGAGAGAGTGAGAGAGTGAGAGCGTGAGAGAGTGAGAGCGTGAGAGCGTGAGAGAGTGAGAGAGTGAGAGAGTGAGAGAGTGAGAGCGTGAGAGAGTGAGAGCGTGAGAGAGTGAGAGAGTGAGAGAGTGAGAGTGTGAGAGAGTGAGAGAGTGAGAGTGTGAGAGAGTGAGAGAGTGAGAGAGTGAGTGAGAGAGTGAGAGAGTGAGAGCGTGAGAGAGTGAGAGAGTGAGAGAGTGAAAGCGTGAGAGAGTGAGAGAGTGAGAGAGTGAGAGCGTGAGAGAGTGAGAGAGTGAGAGAGTGAGTGAGAGAGTGAGAGAGTGAGAGAGTGAGTGAGAGAGTGAGAGAGTGAGAGAGTGAGAGAGTGGCTGACATGTGTTGTTAATTTTGCATCTTTATAGACATGTTGTGTCTTTGTGATCTCTCTCTGTCTCTGATGGATCACCTTGCATCTCCTACTGGTCTCTCTGTCTCTGATGGATCTCCTTGCATCTCCTACTGGTCTCTCTGTCTCTGATGGATCTCCTTGCATCTCCTACTGGTCTCTCTGTCTCTGATGGATCACCTTGCATCTCCTACTGGTCTCTCTGTCTCTGATGGATCACCTTGCATCTCCTACTGGTCTCTCTGTCTCTGATGGATCTCCTTGCATCTCCTACTGGTCTCTCTGTCTCTGATGGATCACCTTGCATCTCCTACTGGTCTCTCTGTCTCTGATAGATCACCTTGCATCTCCTACTGGTCTCTCTATCTCTGATGGATCTCCTTGCATCTCCTACTGGTCTCTCTGTCTCTGATGGATCACCTTGCATCTCCTACTGGTCTCTCTGTCTCTGATGGATCACCTTGCATCTCCTACTGGTCTCTCTGTCTCTGATGGATCACCTTGCATCTCCTACTGGTCTCTCTGTCTCTGATGGATCACCTTGCATCTCCTACTGGTCTCTCTGTCTCTGATGGATCGCCTTGAATCTCCTACTGGTCTCTCTGTCTCTGATGGATCACCTTGCATCTCCTACTGGTCTCTCTGTCTCTGATGGATCACCTTGCATCTCCTACTGGTCTCTCTGTCTCTGATGGATCTCCTTGCATCTCCTACTGGTCTCTCTGTCTCTGATGGATCACCTTGCATCTCCTACTGGTCTCTCTGTCTCTGATGGATCTCCTTGCATCTCCTACTGGTCTCTCTGTCTCTGATGGATCACCTTGCATCTCCTACTGGTCTCTCTGTCTCTGATAGATCACCTTGCATCTCCTACTGGTCTCTCTATCTCTGATGGATCTCCTTGCATCTCCTACTGGTCTCTCTGTCTCTGATGGATCACCTTGCATCTCCTATTGGTCTCTCTGTCTCTGATGGATCACCTTGCATCTCCTACTGGTCTCTCTGTCTCTGATGGATCACCTTGCATCTCCTACTGGTCTCTCTGTCTCTGATGGATCACCTTGCATCTCCTACTGGTCTCTCTGTCTCTGATGGATCACCTTGCATCTCCTACTGGTCTCTCTGTCTCTGATGGATCGTCTTGCATCTCCTACTGGTCTCTCTGTCTCTGATGGATCACCTTGCATCTCCTACTGGTCTCTCTGTCTCTGATAGATCACCTTGCATCTCCTACTGGTCTCTCTGTCTCTGATGGATCTCCTTGCATCTCCTACTGGTCTCTCTGTCTCTGATGGATCTCCTTGCATCTCCTACTGGTCTCTCTATCTCTGATGGATCTCCTTGCATCTCCTACTGGTCTCTCTGTCTCTGATGGATCACCTTGCATCTCCTACTGGTCTCTCTGTCTCTGATGGATCACCTTGCATCTCCTACTGGTCTCTCTGTCTCTGATGGATCACCTTGCATCTCCTACTGGTCTCTCTGTCTCTGATGGATCACCTTGCATCTCCTACTGGTCTCTCTGTCTCTGATGGATCGCCTTGAATCTCCTACTGGTCTCCTCTGTCTCTGATGGATCACCTTGCATCTCCTACTGGTCTCTCTGTCTCTGATGGATCACCTTGCATCTCCTACTGGTCTCTCTGTCTCTGATGGATCATCCTTGCATCTCCTACTGGTCTCTCTGTCTCTGATGGATCACCTTGCATCTCCTACTGGTCTCTCTGTCTCTGATGGATCTCCTTTCATCTCCTACTGGTCTCTCTGTCTCTGATGGATCACCTTGCATCTCCTACTGGTCTCTCTGTCTCTGATAGGATCACCTTGCATCTCCTACTGGTCTCTCTGATCTCTGATGGATCTCCTTGCATCTCCTACTGGTCTCTCTTGTCTCTGATGGATCACCTTGCATCTCCTACTGGTCCTCTCTGTCTCTGATGGATCACCTTGCATCTCCTACTGGTCTCTCTGTCTCTGATGGATCACCTTGCATCTCCTACTGAGGTCTCTCTGTCTCTGATGGATCACCTTGCATCTCCTACTGGTCTCTCTGTCCTCTGATTGATCACCTTGCATCTCCTACTGGTCTCTCTGTCTCTGATGGATCGTCCTTGCATCTCCTACTGGTCTCTCTGTCTCTGATGGATCACCTTGCATCTCCTACTGGTCTCTCTGTCTCTGATGGATCACCTTGCATCTCCTACTGGTCTCTCTGTCTCTGATGGATCACCTTGCATCTCCTACTGGTCTCTCTGTCTCTGATGGATCACCTTGCATCTCCTACTGGTCTCTCTGTCTCTGATGGATCACCTTGCATCTCCTACTGGTCTCTCTGTCTCTGATGGATCACCTTGCATCTCCTACTGGTCTCTCTGTCTCTGATGGATCACCTTGCATCTCCTACTGGTCTCTCTGTCTCTGATGGATCACCTTGCATCTCCTACTGGTCTCTCTGTCTCTGATAGATCACCTTGCATCTCCTACTGGTCTCTCTGTCTCTGATGGATCTCCTTGCATCTCCTACTGGTCTCTCTGTCTCTGATGGATCTCCTTGCATCTCCTACTGGTCTCTCTGTCTCTGATGGATCACCTTGCATCTCCTACTGGTCTCTCTGTCTCTGATGGATCACCTTGCATCTCCTACTGGTCTCTCTGTCTCTGATGGATCTCCTTGCATCTCCTACTGGTCTCTCTGTCTCTGATGGATCGATCCTTGCATCTCCTACTGGTCTCTCTGTCTCTGATGGATCACCTTGCATCTCCTACTGGTCTCTCTGTCTCTGATGGATCACCTTGCATCTCCTACTGGTCTCTCTGTCTCTGATGGATCACCTTGCATCTCCTACTGGTCTCTCTGTCTCTGATGGATCACCTTGCATCTCCTACTGGTCTCTCTCTGTCTCTGATAGATCACCTTGCATCTCCTACTGGTCTCTCTCTGTCTCTGATGGATCACCTTGCATCTCCTACTGGTCTCTCTGTCTCTGATGGATCACCTTGCATCTCCTACTGGTCTCTCTGTCTCTGATAGATCACCTTGCATCTCCTACTGGTCTCTCTGTCTCTGATAGATCACCTTGCATCTCCTACTGGTCTCTCTGTCTCTGATGGATCACCTTGCATCTCCTACTGGTCTCTCTGTCTCTGATGGATCACCTTGCATCTCCTACTGGTCTCTCTGTCTCTGATGGATCACCTTGCATCTCCTACTGGTCTCTCTCTGTCTCTGATGGATCACCTTGCATCTCCTACTGGTCTCTCTGTCTCTGATGGATCACCTTGCATCTCCTACTGGTCTCTCTGTCTCTGATAGATCACCTTGCATCTCCTACTGGTCTCTCTGTCTCTGATAGATCACCTTGCATCTCCTACTGGTCTCTCTGTCTCTGATGGATCACCTTGCATCTCCTACTGGTCTCTCTGTCTCTGATGGATCGTCTTGCATCTCCTACTGGTCTCTCTGTCTCTGATGGATCACCTTGCATCTCCTACTGGTCTCTCTGTCTCTGATGGATCACCTTGCATCTCCTACTGGTCTCTCTGTCTCTGATGGATCACCTTGCATCTCCTACTGGTCTCTCTGTCTCTGATGGATCACCTTGCATCTCCTACTGGTCTCTGATGGATCACCTTGCATCTCCTACTGGTCTCTCTGTCTCTGATGGATCTCCTTGCATCTCCTACTGGTCTCTCTGTCTCTGATGGATCACCTTGCATCTCCTACTTGTCTCTCTGTCTCTGATGGATCACCTTGCATCTCCTACTGGTCTCTCTGTCTCTGATGGATCTCCTTGCATCTCCTACTGGTCTCTCTGTCTCTGATGGATCACCTTGCATCTCCTACTGGTCTCTCTGTCTCTGATGGATCACCTTGCATCTCCTACTGGTCTCTCTGTCTCTGATGGATCTCCTTGCATCTCCTACTGGTCTCTCTGTCTCTGATGGATCACCTTGCATCTCCTACTGGTCTCTCTGTCTCTGATGGATCACCTTGCATCTCCTACTGGTCTCTCTGTCTCTGATGGATCACCTTGCATCTCCTACTGGTCTCTCTGTCTCTGATAGAT